GGCCTCCCAGGGGGTCCCCACTGCCTTTCATGTTCTCAGGCTGCTGCTGCCACCTGTCTCCTCGTGTCCCCATGCCTGGTCTCACGGCGCTGCCACCATGGCCTCCGCTCATACTGGGCTGCTCTCCCCGCAGTGGCTGGGCTCCCTCCTCTGTTCTCAGTCACCTGGGTCCTCACGGTCCACGACTTGCCCTCAGCCCTGCCTTGTCTCCCCTCCTCCTCCTGGAAAGGGACTCAAGTTCCTGCCATGCTGCCTCTTCCAGGAAGTCTTCCTGGACCCCAGGCCTCCAGGCCTGGCTACCCGTTAACCTCACAGCGACCTCTGGGTCCTTCCTTCAGTCGGGCTCACCACGTCATGTAATTAGTTCACGTTTTCAGCAAGTAAAACTGTGAAGCACCTGTGAAGCGCCAGGCACTGGGAATGTAGGACTAGGTCAGCTAGGACACCTCTGGGCTGGAAAATGAGGAAGTCCCTAGAACCCTGCCTTGAAACAGGTGGACTTCTGCTTCTGACACAAGCCAACATCCAGCAGTACTTCCGGAGACGGGGTGCCTGGGTGGCTCAGTGTTGGGACCCAGCCTTCCCTTTGGTTCACAAGCTAGTTGCCATAGCTCCAGCCATCATATCTGTCATAATAAGAAAGCTCGGGGCGTGGATGGTGCCTTCTGCTATAAGTACCTTAAATCTAATAAAAAGAACTCTCAACACACGTCTCACTCACTGGCTGGAACCGGCACATATTTGCTACCTGTGTTGGAGCTTGTGTGCTAGTGGAGGCAACGCAGCTCAGAAACAGAGTGCACCGTCCTGAGCGCTGGACCAGAAAGTGAAGCCGAGGGAGGGAGGTGCCCGAGGGTGGGGGGTGGGTGTCCTAGGAAGGCTTCCTGGGAAGGCTGGGGGTTGGGTGACACGGCCACGTTTCAGGGGAGTGGGCCACAGTGCCAGGACCCCGAGGCGAGGGCAGGGTGAGGATCTGCAGAAGCTGAGCACAGGGTCCTGGTGAGACCCCAGGGTGGGGAGGGCTGCGTGGCGTTGGCTGGGGGTGCACTCCCGCTTGCTGTGTCACTTTACTCAAACCTTCTTTTAAGCTCAGAATGGTTCCTGACTCAGTTTATGTGGCTCCAAAAGTATCGATGTCCTTTGACGTGACGTCGGACATTGAGCTCTGTCCAGGGACGCAGCTCTCGCCGTCTGTCCTGCACCAGCAGTGTGCACGGGAGTAGACCAGATCTTCCTCCTCGTGACGTAAACCCACGCTTGCTGTAGAAAAGTACAGGACACACAGGGGAGAAGGATTCAGACCATCCTACCCTGCCAGGTCTCTCAGAAGCAGTAGACTTGAGGTGACAGATCTGTGGGCCAGGCACCAAGAGGACGTGGGACTGGCTTTTTGCAGGGGACCTCTACCTTCCTCCCCAGGGGACCATGAGCTGGTCCCTTAGTAACTTCAGAGGCAGTGGCTGGGCCCAGGCTGATGGCCATTGCACAGTCCTGTCCTGCTGCTCTGCCGGGCTGGTCACTCGTCCCTCACCAGCTCCTCCCAGGCCTTCGCCCAAGCCTGCTAGCAGGTACCCGCCCGAGCAGGGCTGGTCTCCCCATCTCTCTGCACGACTGCAGGCCTCGCTGTGTTCTTTCTGCTGGACCAGGGGCTGCACCTGGGCCTTGGGGCCTCCGGGCCTCTGGTATCCCCGAGCATGTCCACCACTGAGCCAGCCCCAGGCGTCCAGACTGTTTGCCTGTTTCGGTCCTCTGGTCGTCCTCTTAGGAAAGCAAGGTTACCTTAGTTTTAGGAACTGTTTGAAGAACTTGGCCCAGCTCGGCTTCTTTCTACCTTTGTATTGGTTGAAGATGGGGGAAGGTGAAGAATGCAGTAATTAAAGGAACTCGAGCAGAGGGGTGGTGTTGGTTGGCTGCTCTAGGTAATTGAGGTAATTTTTTGTCTTGAAAGTGACTGTTGCAAATGTGACACATTCCAACCAGGAGAAAGAGGCCAAGAAGACATGGGCTATGTCCTGTGTGTAGACAGCTGGTGCCTCTGCTGTGCGTGAGACCAGCCAGATCCTTCTGCACATGCTCCTTACTTGACCTCAAATCTTTTCTCTCTAGGCACTTGGCAGAATGGACAAGGCCTGTGTCCTGAAACACAAAGTGCTGGAGAGCCCGCTGGGGAAGATCGAGCTGTCTGCCTGTGACCAGGGCCTGCACCGGATAAGGCTCCTGAGCCCACAGACCTCCACCGAGTGAGTGCGTGCCACCCATTGTGTGTGGGGGGAGGGGGGCACCAGCTGAAAGCAACTAGTGTGACTTGTTGGCCACAGGGTAACAAGGAGCCCGCTGCCACAGACATTCCTGTTGTCTGCCCCCACAGGTTGCCCCAACTCCATCTCAGTTAACATGGGGCCTAACCTCCGATGAGTGGCTCCAGGGCATTGGATTCCCGTGTACCTTCAAGGAGGGGTTGATTGAGCATTGATTCTCTAAGGCGTGCGCTGTGGGGATGTCCCTGGGAATTTGGTGGCTGGATAATACGTGCCTTATCTCTTTTTTTTAAGCCAGCCTGGGATTTTGGTGAACGGCCCGCTGGGTGAGGTCGTGCTTCCTCTGTGGGATTCGGTGTCGGATCTAGGCCCTCTGGAGGCAGTGAGCACAGCCTGCAGGGCGCAGGGCCTTCAGCCTGACCGGCTCACCATTCCCAGGGGACGTGTGTTTCTCTTGCATGATCCTCACCGAGTTTCTCTAATTGTAAAAGCATAAATGGAAAGCGCTCTCTAACGCTTTGTTCTGAAATGCAGCGTTTCATTTCCTCCTCTCATTGACCAAGAGTCGTGTTAAAATCACAGTTCCCGTTATTCCTGACAGAAGGAAAAAAACCACCCACTCTTATGCCCGGTGTTGTCTTAACTGGCTAATAAACACAATGCCAAGAACATTAGATAAAGAAAATACATAAGAAACATAAAAATTGATTTTAATGGACCCCTGTCAGAGACGGCTGTAATGAGCACGAGTGTGGTAATAAATATCAGTATTCCCCCCACCGTCGGGCTTTTCCTGTAGAGCCGCGTGTTACAATCAATATAGCCTTTTTTAAGACTAAAAAATAAGCAAACCTTTGAACTACATGAATATGCTCTTCAGTCTATGAGAACCATCTGGCTCCCGTGTTCAGAAAATCACAGGCACCAAATAATTTGTAGGGGAAAATGTCATTTTCTTTCTTTGCATGTTCATTTGCGCAATAAATCACAGGAATTATGGGTTGGGTCCCCCAATCCCCCTGCTCCCGCCTTTTGGAGCAAAGGTAAATGTCCTTGCAGCAAATCTGGGAAGAAAGTAAAAACCGGGTGTTATGAGTTAGGTGTGGTTAAGAGCCTGCTGTGGACCCTCGGAGCAGCGTGCAGAGGCTTGACTTCGAGTTTCTACTTGAGTCTTGTGGCCCAAGTGAGCATCCCATTCAGCTGTGAAAACAGCCGCCAAGTAGCTACCCTAGGAGAAAGGTGTCCTGGCCGAGCGGCTGAGCGGCTGGGCTCCTCTCCGCTGCCCTGGGGCTCTCCAGGCTGTGCCCTTGCCCTAATGCTGTTGGGAAGAGGAGCCAGGGAAACCGACTCTGCTCTGCCTTTCTCTGGGCCACCAGGCAAGGGAGGCCACTGTGCGTTCTGGCTAGAGCTAGAGCCCTGTGAGCAGGGTTCAATCCCCAGTGATACCCCCCCCCAAAAAAAGTTGAGACTAGTGTAAACCTGAATACTCAGAATCACGGTCTCATTATTGTTATTTTTTTAAAGTGTAAAATTCACATAGTGAAGTTTCTATTTTCAGTGTATAATTCATTGTGTTTTGATGAACATTTCCAGCTATAGAGCCACTGCCCTAACCAAGATCTAGAACGCTCCAGAAGGTCACCTTGTGCCCCTTCAACCCACGGTCATTCCTGTTAGTGGGTCATTGGTCACGTCTCTTGGTAGACGCCTGTTCTCATTTCTTTCCCTCGAACTCCAGGGAGGGGAATGGCTGGATCGAATGGCGAATGTGTTTGGCTTTGTAAGAAATGCCCGGAATGTCCCCCGAAGTGGCCTTGCTGTTCCACAGCAGCACGCCTGGGTTGCTGCCCTGACGGGACTGCCATCAAGACTGGAACTTTCGGCCTTCTGGTGGGTGTGGTGTGCTGCCCCTGGGGTCTTCATTTGCATTCTAAGTCTCTGTCCCTCTTGAGTCGGGCTTGCGGAGGTTTTTGCCACTGATTTGTGGTTTCAGACACAAGTCCTTCATCACATCCGTGAGCTGTGGTTTTGTTGTTTTAGTTGCACATTTGTTTTTCTGATAGACTCTTGGTGTGAAGGTTTTAGTTTTTGAGAAATTCAGTTTGGTTTACGTTTAGCAATTATTTTCTTCAAAAAATAGTTCTCTCCTGTAATTTCACCACCATCTTCTCCTACAGTTCCTGAAAGCTTCATCCTGGTGGTTCTTTTTAGATGTGTGACCCATCTTGAGTCATTTTTTCCTTAGTTATTCAGTTGTGTCAGGATTTGTTGAAAAAGCCCCCAGAAGTCCCCCCCCCATCAGATCACCACGGTGCCTTTGTCAGCCAGCTGGCCATGAGCACGGGTCCTGTCTGGGCACCACTGCTGGGCACACCCGTGCCTGTTCTGTGCCAGCTCCTGCTGACCTGACCACGTGGCTTGGTGATTGGCCTGGAAATCGGGGAGGTGAGTCCTCAGCTTCTTCTGAGATCACCCTGGTTCTAGGCCTAGTTGTCACACATTGCCTCCAGAGTTGGGTGCCCATCTTCTTGGGGTTGATGGAGAGCTGTGAGTATCTGTGTTTTGGAGGTTGACATCTCTGTTGAACTTGTCAACTTGTGATACGATTTTCCTGTTTGGGTTCTTTCATTGTCCCCAGCAGTGTGTTGCAGTTTCTAGCATAGGGACCTTGCATGTCTTTTGTGAAATTGATTTTTAAATACTTTACTCTTGATGGTCTTCTAAGTCAGTTTAAAACTTTAATTTTTAAATTATTGCTGCTGGTTATGACAATTGATTTTGTATGTTGATCTTACTCTCTGGGATCTTGGCTAGATTCAGTGCAGTAGTGTCCACCACTGCCCCAACCTTGCCTATAGTTTTACTTTCTGATGTATGCTACCCATCCTCAGCCAGGGTCTAAAAATACTTAGAAGATTCCAGGAAGAAACGCTTTAGGTTAGGTCTCATGACAGTCTGTAGACAGCTGCCGCTGCATTCTGAGCCGTCCGTTGTCCAGCGTGTCTGTGCTGTTTATGCTACCTACCTGTCAGTCCCTCTGAACAGCCATGGTTATCAGACCGACTGGTGGTGGTGCAAAGCTCATATTCAAGTAACCCTCAGTTTATATGGGGGTGGCTCCAGAGCATAAGAGAAGCAGCACTGACAACACAGACCTGGGGAGAAGCAGCGAAGTGCTTCAGATACCTCACATCACAGGAAGGAGGTGAGTGCCCTGTAGTCGGAGACCACGTGCACGTGACTTACCTCACGTGCGTGGCTGGAATGGTTCATTTTGTGTTGATGTCACCATGCCTGATTTATAGATCAGACTTTATCAGAAGCATGTAGATCGAAGGTGGTGTGTATGAGGTTTGGTGCTGTCCAGTGTCGGGTGCCCACTGGGGTCTTCATGGACCCTCTGGATGGGCAGGGCCTACTGCTCAGTCAGCTCTCCACGTCTGAGGCTCCCACATCTGTGGATTCAGCAAATGGGGATAAGAAAAACTGGGAAAACTGTATCTGTTTAGAACACGTGGGCTTTTCTTATCATTCCCTGAACAGTGCATTAGACCAGGCAGCATTTATGCTTATTAGATATAAGTAGTACAGAGATTTGCAGTGTACAGGGGTGTGTGCTTGGGTACCTGCCTATGCTACACCATGTTATGTAAGGGAGGAGTGTCCTTGGATTTAGTGTCCTTGTTAGTCCTGGAACAGGTCCCTGGGGTCAGAGGAAGGACTGTTCTGGGGCTTTGCAGTTCCTGAGGGCTCCTGTAGTCTCTGGTTTGTGCAAGGGGAGTAGGCTTCTCTCTCTACCTTTCAGGCACTGTTAGACCCACCATTGGAATGATGGGTAAGCAGGTGACGGTGGCTGCCCCTTCCTGTCCCAGTAGCAGGAGTGTCCAGTATTTCCCTAGCTGGGTGGTCCACCCTTTTGGGTTTTGAAGGTGTCCACCTCGGGTTGAGGGTGCTTCCGCAGTCCACTGGGCTTTGCCATGTGGTTTCTCTGGGTGGCCATAGGACTTCTCTCCTGTGTTTGAATGAGTTAATTTTGGAATGGTGGACCTACCCTGAACTGCAGGACTGTGACGCCTCATTCCACATGAAGGTCCTGGTCAGATCAGGACGGGGTGAGGGGGCAGTGCTCCTCCTGGTCTGAGAGCGAAGGGGGGACCGGCATGGTTTCCCTCCTGTTGGTGGGCAGGTCCAGCTTTGCCGACAGGGTTTCCTGTTGTGGAAGCTCCTGTGACCTCTAGGGGAGTCGGTGCCGCCTCTTCACCTGTGTGCTCTCTGGGCCTGCTCCCTGCTGCCCTCTGACAGCTGACGCATGGCCCAGGATGGAGAGTGAGCACTCTTTCCTTCCTCCAAAGCCAAAGTGGGTAGATGCAGGTGGACCATTGCCACGTGTCTGCAGCAGGATCGCATGTGCACTTCTGGACAGGTCTGATGCCCATCCTGCGGTCAGTTACCTGTATGTGTGGCCTCGTACAGCAATTGCTGATTTGTTTTGTGTGGCTTATAATAATCACTTACCTTTCCCTTCCTGAAATGTGACAAAGCCTCAGTCTGGAAAGTGGCATAAAGGTTTTATGGCCTTCTGCCCACATCAGGTCTCTACTAACCACCTCTTGCATGGAGCTGGTGGCCCTGGTGGGAGCAGGGCCTGGCCCACGCATCATCCTGCCTTGACAGCTTCACCTCGTCGTGAGCTTTAGCAACAGGAGCTCTGTGAGGGGGTCACGTGTGTTACTTCTGTGTGCTATTTTGAGACTTGCTCAGTGTTCCACCAAGTTGATTGCAGTGTTTGATTACTTGGAAAAGTCAATGATACAACCTTGAGGAGCAGCAGGTGAGCCCAGGGGATCGTGGGTGCTGGAGGGAGCCAAGTTAGAGGATTTGCTTCTAACTTTTGTTCGTGTAAACCCTTTAGTAGTAGTCGTACAATACTGAAAACATGGTCTGACCAAATGACCAACTGAAGTCCTTTAGTGTCTTGAAAA